TGTGTGTGAGAGTTTGTGTGGAGTCTTAAGCGGGTCCAGTCGTCATTTGTTATTATGCGATCGGGTTGTGTTGATAGCTAAGCTCCGGTGTACGTAAATACCATATAACCGGACCGTCCAGCTCACGCTTTGAGATCCAAATGATCGGCGATGAGAATTGTTGTGGCATGTTGAGCAACGAACTCAAGTGCTCTCTGTGGGAATGGGTTGGGGGGTTAAACTCATAGTGCATCCGAAAGATTTAGGGAAAGGTGGGGGGAAGGGGAGCGGGAGGCCATTCAGTCAATTCTCGTCGTTGCCGTCTTGCTGGATTCTAGCGTGGCTTTTTGCCGGTACTATGTGTATCACGTTACCAACCTTTGCTATCATCCCAGTGATGGGGTGGTATTGGAGGTTATGCGTTCTAGTCCTGTCATATCGAGTCTTGTATTCCCCATTTGCTGTCAGTCATATTTTTGTTATGAGTCCTGTCGGTCATGTGCATGTTGTATGCATGCTGTGGAGTGGGATGGTTTTGTTTATGAATCCCCGGAGTATATGGACGCACCCAACTAGGTGTATGCGTACATGCACTCGAGTACTCATACATGCACAACACTACATATTTGTACGTCCTTTCATACTTATCCGTGTATGCATACCTAATTGACATTACGTACACACGCCAACTCTTTCATATGCGTTTACCAATGCCTGTACTTACATTCATAAAAAAACGAGTACATCCACACGTAGTGATATTCACTCTTCCATGTCTTATGTGTTTTGTGTCGCTTTGTCTGTAATTTCGTCTGGTCGTGTCACTTTTAAGTTATGTCCCGTTACTGGTATGTGACCTGTCCGGTACTGACGTATCATGTTTTGGTGGATGGTGTGCGTTGATGGCGTTCTTGCTGCTTACACCCTTCATTCCATTTGTTCTCATTAATGAACAGACATACAGCAACACAGTTTATGGTTTCTTTGATTGCACTGTCATTCATACACTCACAAATATATAAGTATACACGCTCTCATATATATACACACATGCACACTCATACACACATATACATGCATACAGTAATACATTTAAATCCATGTACTCATTCATCTGTACCTTTCGCACAACTATATTCCCACTGTTCCGTCCACACGTGAATCCGTACCATCCACCTACATACATCTTGTCTTATGTATCCATCCTATACACAAATGCACTCATACTACACGCACTCATCCTTGTGTATGTGTCCATGTTCACATCTATGCACTCATCATACTTACACTATCTCTCTGACTCTAGGATGTCCGGGGTTATCATCTCATCAGTTCCTTCTGTTATACTGAGTAAATCCCTAATCTGGTCTTTTTAGTTTTGATTTGTTTTAATAAGGTATTGTTTAACCAGTTTTTGGATGTCTTTATTGCTATCTACATTTAAACATTTGTTTGCAGTAATTTGTCTGCTACACTTCCTAATGTTCTAAATATATGAAAAGTTAGCTGATGTCCAGGAAACGCTTTTTTGATCATTGATTTCCTTGCGCCCTTTTTAGGAAGTATTTTTTTTTTTATTTGAAGCCCCACTCTGGCTTTTTTGCCAGGGGCCGCAATATAGGCAGGCCATAAATATGGCCAATTGTGTGAACGCGGTTTCTGGGACCTCTCCACGGTGATCCTCATCCACATGGTGGCACATTGTGTCATCGGGTGTTTATCGCTTGTGTGATGTCCTAGTATGGTAGAAAGTCAGTCAGTCAGTCAAATTTGTCGCTGGCTAGAAATGCAAACCTCATAATTTATCTAGGAGGAGTCACCAAGTGGCGATTCATTATACTAAAATTCAGCATGAGTGGCTTGAGTTGAGTCAAGAATTGATATCACAGCACACGGGGCATTCCCATGCGTGCTCCGTCCTCATCTTCACCAGCCAGCGCAGAGTTTCAAGAGGCATAAATAGATCATTATAGTCTGAGGAGAATGGCGCTGCGAGGAGTTGCCAGTGGATTTGGCTGAAGCTCAACAATCAAGGGAGACGGATATACAATCAGACAATTACTGGTGCCATCGGAATTGAAACTCTTCGCCTGCTGTTGAAGATGGGGACGGGGCGCTTATGGAAGTGTCCTGAGTGCTGTGATGTTGATTCGAAATTTAACATTGAGCACCCATACACGTAGTAAACATGTGATTGTGATATACAGCTAAAGTCATCCATGTCTGTGCTATTTCCTGGACAGCTAGGAAGAGCAACCCATATGGTTTGAAAGAGGCGAGGGCTCTAAGACAACATAATCCAACCATCAGAAAGCATTACTCAGCCTCGTCGTCCCCATGCGGGATGCAACGTTCTGTTATTTAAAGCCCCATCCTGGCTTTTGCCGGGGGCCCTGAATATAGCTGGGCCATAAATATGAAATAACTGCTGAACAGGGTTCTTGGGACCTCTCTACAGGTGACCCTCATCCGCATTTTGGCACTTTGTGTCACCGGTTGTTTATCGCTTGTGTGATGTCCTAGTGGAGTACAACAAGCAAGCCATCTATTTACTGGACAGCTAAGAATAAGAAAACAAAAACCCCCAGAAACCCAGATGATTTGAAAGAGGCGAGTACTCGAAGACAACTTATCACAAACATCAGAAAGAGACATAATTTCTTGGTCATTATCAGAAGAGGAAAAATAGAACATGTTGTGACCACTGGAAAAATGTATGGAAAGAGAGACGGAGGACGACAACGCGTAAAGATTCTTGAAAGTCTTTTGTCATAGTATGGATTTATGTGAACACACGAAATGATACACGCAGTTCGAGATCGCACACTGCGGAGAGACACATCCAGAAGACAAAAGACACGTACATGGAACATACACAAGACCTACACCTGAAAGACACACATCCGGAACATAAGACAAGACACATTTGGAATATTTAAAGTAAACATACCAAGAACACACACACACACAAAAACACATTGGAACACAGAACTTGATTTTTTTTTTTTTTTAAACACCAAAAACTTTTTTTTTTTTTTTTTTAATAAGAATCGCCTTTAATTTGATCTGTATTTATTTTGCGAAGAAAATATTTAGACATTTTGATTAGTGTAAATTTGTCTGTTAACATAAAAACACACACTTGGAACACAAAAAGACATACATATACAATTTATGAATGCTGGAGAATGACCAAAAAGGATGCACACAAGCTGTCCACCTTCCACCATACATGTCAACGTGGAATTATCAAAATTTTCTGGCCACTTACAATCTCAAACACTAAACTACTTCAAGTCACAAACCAAGAAACTTTAGACAGTATGAGAACCAAGAGAAGATGGAAATGGCTTGGCCATGTTATGAGAATGAATCCTGATATACCCGCCAAAACAGCTCTCACATGGACACCAGATGGAAAGAGAAAACAGGGGCGCCCAAAAACAACATGGAGACGAACGATGGAAAGTGACCTGAGTGCGGCATCTTTGACATGGAAAACTGCACTGAAGATTGCGCAGGACAGGAAAGCATGGAAAGTTCTCTCTGAAGCCTCGTGTGCCACTAGGCATAACGAGAACTGATGATACATTTTAGTTGCATATCCTTTACATGACGTTGCAGAACCAAATCCAGCAATGTGGTTTTTCTAGGCAAATTAAAGGTTTTTTAGTTTGCCAATCCTTGTTGTGAGTATTGTCTGGATTTTTTCACCGGGGCACGCCGGTGTTTTGGGGAATGAACAGGCGGACAGACTGGCTGGCTCTGCACAACATGGTGGAATCCTGATACATGATAAGGCAGACATGGTTAGTGCCTTGTGGGAGAGCGTGTACAGTTCGGAGGAGCAGATGGATCACTACAGTCTGGTGCGATTGATTCAGTGGGGAGTGACGAGAGGTTCTGGCAGATGCTTGAGGCTCAGAGGAAAGGCAAGACGGACGTTTACTCAGAATGCTACTTGCACCATTAGTATCGGAACTCTTCGCTGGCTTCTGAAGGTGGGAACGGAGCGCTTATGGGAATGCCCAGTGTGCTGTGATGTCGGTTCTTGAATCAAATCAAATCATATCAAATCAGATCAAATCAAATCAAATCAAATCCTTGTTGAACTGTCAGTGCTTGGTATCACTGTCAAAACTAACGCTAGACGATCTGCTGCCATATCGACTGCAGCTAGAATCGAACCGAACACCTGGGCATTAGAAGAGTGTTCGTAACGCCTAAGCCATTGACGGCTACATATACATATCATCATCATCATGTAGCAGATACTTTGCAGAACGTCGCCCTCATCACGGTCTGTCTGAAAGAAACTCGGTCTCTCGCCAGCTCTCCCGCCTCATGTACTTTCATACTCAAGGAGTTACTTGCATCCTGTGCCAATCTTCTTGTTAATCGACCCTTGCCCCTCCTTTCTGGTACCATGCCTTCTTCTATTATTTTTTTTTTTTTTTTTTGCAATCCGTCGAGGTGCTTGATATGAACAATTATTAGTAAATCTTCCTTGATGTTCGTCGGCTCTGTGGCTAAGTCGATGCGAACTCTTCGTAATGCCGAGATGTCGGGTTCGATCCCCGCTGCGGGCCATGCGCCTTGCGTTGGTTTCGACAGTGGTATCAAGAAAGTCGACCGTCCAAAAAGTAATGACAAACTACTGGACGTAATTGTGCCTAGAAAAACCACACAAAAGCCAGGAGCTGTTAGGGGTTGGTTCTGCAACGTCCTGAAAGGGATACGCAACTAACCTTCCTTGATGTTTAGCTTTTTAATATTCAGTATTTCTCCTCTTCTTTGTCCAAGATTTTCTGAGAACCTTTCTATAGCATTTCAGCTCAAAAGCCCCTATTCTCTTTCTCAAGGACATGGAGATAGTCCATGACTCACATCCGTATGTTGCTACAGGGAAGATGCATGCTCTCGAAATTATAATTTATACATATACATATAGAACACTAATATATACAAATGTCTAGAAATCATGCTTCCAGCATGACCTAACTCTCGCCACCATCCATATCCTAGGGGTCCCTTTGGAAGTATTCCACACAAAGGGAAACATTAGCATGGGGGACAACTATGAAACCAAAAGAGAGGGCTTCTAAAGTAACATCCCCTGTTTGTAGTCTTGGTAACAATGTAGGCAACTTTGTCCCCGACATCATCAATGTTTGCCCGTTGAGTTTAACGTATCTGTGGAAATAACAACAACGGAAAATGATATGTTTTCTAGAGATACATTATAATACATGTACTAGTAAGTAAACATCATCATCATGTGCCCTGCCAACTGGCTTAGGCGCTATTGCGTCTCCACAGATCACGATCCCTGGTTGACTGTGAAAGCTCTTTTGATGATATCCCTCCATGCCATCATTTAAGCCCATCCAACATCATCTGCCTCTACCCCCTTATTTCACTGATCTTTGCAGTTGTCACGAAGTTCTCCAATGTCTCTCTTCTCCTTATGTGGCCAAAGAAAATTGTTTGTCTCTGTCTTATTGTTGTATATAGAGATCTACTTTTAATAACCTCTTTAAAGCAATCGTTGTTAGCTGCTCTGGCCGTTCAAAGTATTCGTTACATTTGTCTCAGAAACCACATCTCTGTTGCTTCCAAATTCTTCTAAACTTGTTCAGTAACATTCCAAGATTCGCTGCCATACAGCAGAACGGGGTCTGTGTGACATTTTAGCTCAGTCTTTTAAACAAACATAGATACAAGTATTCGCAACAATGTTTTCTTGTGTTTTTCAAGACAGTACATAATTTATTGACACATATTTCGCTGCATCTCATCGGATTAGGAACATAACTTGAATACATTCTGATGAAATACAAGTGATCTCTCCTAATCATCTATCAACTATTTATCTCCTTGTGGGATGCCATTTTTCGTTATTTTGAAGCCCCACCCTGACTCTTGACAGGGGCTGCAATATAGCCTGGCCATAAATATGGTCTAATGGCTGAACGCGGTTTCTGGGACTTCTCCACGGGTAATCCTCATCCACATGGTGGTACTTTGTGTCATATGGTTTTTATCGCTTGTCTGATGTCCTAGTGGGGTACAATATACTACTACTACTTATTTGATCTCTCTCGGTATAGAATCTAACAACCAGATATTCACGCACCCTTTACATGACGTTGCAGAACCAACTCCAGCATTTATTTGCTGTTGTGGTTTTTCTAAGCAAATTTTGCGTCCAGTTTTGGCTTTCTTGGCCTCGAGTGCTAGAGGTTCCGGATTCAATCCCCTGTAAGGGCTGGAATTTTTTTCACGTGGACCTGGACATCTAGTAATTCCCCCAGTCTCTAGGTAGTTAATTTGGACGCCCGTGTGCATTGTTGCGCCTTTAGTAGTTTGCCATTGCTCACTGAACAGTCTGCTGTCTGTATCACTGTCAGAAACTAGCGGAACACAAATCGTCGGTAGCAGGGATCGAACCTGGCACGCCGGCATTACGAAGCGCGTTCACAATGCCAAAGCCACAGATGCCGACTACAATACGATATTTACGTGGCCAAGGATAATTGGTTGTCTCTCGTTTGAGGTGTGAACTACACATGTAGTCACCCACAAGTGCTCCGTTTTTCTTCAAACTCAAGTCTGCGTCCGAAGAAGCACAGCGTTAGACTACTCTTTTCGATTTCCAACTGCCAAGGGATTGTTTGTACTTACGAAACAATACATACGGGCGTCCGATGTTACTACCCAGAGACCAGAGGAAATTACTAAAGGTACCCGTTAAAAAAAAAAATCTCAGCATTCACCGGTGCCCGAAACCGGGACTCTAGCAGTTGAGGCGGACGCCATGCCTCGAGACCACGCAGCCCCCTAGTTAACAGCCGGTAAACAAAGAAGAAGAAGTGTGCACAGCAAGTTCACAAATGTATTTCTTGGCTGGATGGTAATCCAACATGATACAATTAGTTCGATTTACAGTTTGTCACTCGGAGGGGACTATAAGAAGGAAAAGAAGACAAAAAACAAAAAACAAAAAAAGATTAAGCAAAGTAAGATCCTCAACACTTATAAAATCTATCGGAAAGGGGTAGGTTCACGTTAATCTCCCCAAATATAGTAGGTCTTTTTTTCATTCACAAGTTTGTTGGGCTGGTCGACTTTCTTGAAGGTTACAGGTGTGTCCCGCTCTGTTGTTTGCTTTCTTAGTTGTCTTGCATTAACGTTTTTACTCCGAGAAAGAGAATGCCTGTTAATTAGGTTGCAGCACTTACTAGTGATGCTGTGTAAGGACTAGTTTCACCTGTTTTTTGGAGTGTTAAAAGCGCTGGCGTGCTGAAATATACAACAGGCGATATCAACGACATTGCGGAACACCCCTGTGACTTTGTGCGAAGCTCACGGGGCTTAGGAACTACCAATCAGAAGTGAGCAAGTGTGTATATGGGCGGGGCCAGGGGAGACTAACGTCACTTGTTCCCGGAAACGCTTAATCAAACATGTTATAGTATACATCTTACTTGGAGGTCAGTCCACTCGTATCTCCTGGAGTCAGCTGGTAGAGGTGAAGGTCATTCGCCTGAAACTGGGACAGTGACAAAACTGTCTGCGACTTCTCTAGGTTCAGGTAGTAAACAACGATCGCCCCAGGTAAGTATCTGCAGACACCATAATCCACATGGTTTTATTGACAAGTTTCGTTTCTTATATTACAGACAAATTAAAGTTTTGAGGTTTTGAACAACGGATCAACATCGTGGCACACGGGTAGTAACTAATAAGTGCTCCGTTCTTCTTCTAACTCAAGTCTGAGTCCGAAGAAGCTCAGCACAGTACATAGGCTCTGTAGCACCGGCGAGGATCCTGAAATACTTTGGGTAGATTTTTAACTCCACATTTTGCACTGGCAGCGCCGTTAGGCTACTCTTTTCGATTTTCAACTGCCAAGGGATTTTTTACGTGCGCAACAATGCACACGGGCGTCCGATCTCACTACCCAGAGACCAGGCGGAAATACTAGAAGTCCAAGTCCACGTGAAAAAATCCCAGCCCTTACCGGGGATTGAACCCGGAACCTCTAGCACTCGAGGCGGATACCATGCCTCGAGACCACGCAGCCCCATAGACGAATAAATTTGTTTATAATGGCCCTATTGAGTTTTGAATTCCTTGTCTAGCTTATTCACTAAAAGGCTAAATTATTTACGTAAGCTCATTTAGTGCCAGGAAATTTCTAATTACAAAATCAAACTATTCTACCCCTAATTTGACTTGAAAACTTGCATGAATGGTTGCTGTGTGAACCCCCCTCTATACGAGTTATAACATGAGCAATTATTGTATCAACCCCCCCCACTTACACCAGTTATAACTTTAGCGATTATTGTATGAACCCTCTCTATACGAATTGTAACTTAAACAGTTGCCATAGAGCCCAGTCTACTACAATTGTATATTTAACACTTGCTTGAACAATTGCTGTATGAACCAATCTACTACAATCGGAACATAAACACTTGCTTGAACAATTGCTATATGAACCAGTCTACCACAAGTGTAACGTAAACACGTGCTTGAACAATTGCTTTATGAACCAGTCTACTACAATCGTAACATAGGCACTTGCTTGAACAATTGCTGTATGAACCAGTCTACTACAATTGTAACATAAACAGTTGCTTGAACAATTGCTGTATGAACCAATCTACTACAATCGGAACATCTTGAACAATTGCTATATGAACCAGTCTACCACAAGTGTCACATAAACACTTCCTTGAAACCTTGCTATATAAACCAGTATACCACAAGTGTAACATAAACACTTGCGTAAACAATTGCTATATGAAGCAGTCTACTGCAGTCGTAACATAAACACTTGCTTGAACAATTGCTATATGAACCAGTCTACTACAATCGTAACCTAAACACTTGCTTGAACAATTGCTATATGAAGCAGTCTACTACAATCGTAACCTAAACACTTGCTTGAACAATTGCTATATGAACCAATCTACTACAAGTGTAACATAAACACTTGCTTGAACAATTTCTATATGAACCAGTCTACCACAAGTGTAACATAAACACTTCCTTGAAAAATTGGTATATGAAACAGTCTACCACAAGTGTAACATAAACACTTGCTTGAAAAATTGGTATATGAAAGAGTCTACCACAAGTGTAACATAAACACTTGCTTGAAAAATTGGTATATGAAACAGTCTACCACAAGTGTAACATAAACACTTGCTTTAAAAATTGGTATATGAAAGAGTCTACCACAAGTGTAACATAAACACTTGCTTGAAAAATTGGTATATGAAACAGTCTACCACAAGTGTAACATAAACACTTGCTTTAAAAATTGGTATATGAAAGAGTCTACCACAAGTGTAACATAAACACTTGCTTGAAAAATTGGTATATGAAACAGTCTACCACAAGTGTAACATAAACACTTCCTTGAACAAATTATTTTTAATTTGAGCAGAGGCAGAAGCTTCACTGATAAGGTTACAGGTACTGAGCATACTTTGGATCTTTTCTCCAGGCAATGCGGGCGTGGTGGATAATGAACAGGCAGACAGGGCTGGATCTGCACCACTAGGTGGTGAAATGATACATGACAAGGCAGATGTGGTCAATGCTCTTTGGGAACAAGCAATTGGAACAGTAGAGAAACAAGATTATTATGGCCTGGAGAGAATAAGCTATCTGGGTGTAACCAGAGGGTCTGGCCGGCTGACTACACTCAGAGAAAAGTCAAGACGGACATAAAACCATTGTGACCGGTGCCATCAACACTAGAACTCTGTGCTGGAGGCTGAAGATGAGGACAGAGCACACATGGGAATGCCTCGAGTGCTGTGATGTAAATTATTGCCTCAACTCAACTTTCTTTAACAATTCTATATGAAACCGCGTTACGCCAGTTGTAGCCTAAACCCGTTTCACACACTATGTTATTTTACCCTTGATAGATTAATAAATCAAAGTAGCACCTTGAACAGGTTAAACAGCCACACGTCTGTGCTGATAGAGTTGATGTGTCCAGTTTGCTGCAGTCTGGGAGTGCCAGAGCTACTCTCTGAGCGTCGTTGTTGACTGGCAGCAAGACGCTTCTAGCCATATTGAATTAATCCCTCCCCGTGTGACTGACTGACCGACTTTCTACCCCACCAGGACATCACACAAGCGACAAACACCCGATGACACAAAGTGCCACCATGTGGATGAGGATCACCGTGGAGAGGTCCCAGAAACCGCGTTCAGACAATTGGCCACATTTATGGCCTGCCTATATTGCGGCCCCTGGCAAAAGCCAGAGTGGGGCTTCAAATAACAAAAAACCACGTCCTAAGAAGGACGTAAGGTGTGGGTTCTGGGGCCCTATTATAGGGAAAGCAAGAATAGACCCACCGCTTACCCAAAAGCATGTCGTAAAAGTCGACTAATTGGGAGCTTTCTCTAAAGTCGGAGTGCATCTGCCTGAGAGGCAAGGAGCCAACAGTCTGCATACTAATTGGTCAGATCTGTCAATCGGATGCACAAACAACACTCAGGTTATGAACAACCAGAACTTTCCTCCGGAGGTTACAGCCAGTGAACGCGAAAAAGAAAAAGAAGAAGAAGAAGAAGAAGAAGAAGAAGAAGAAGAAGAAGAAGAAGAAGAAGAAGAAGAAGAAGAAGAAGAAGAAGAAGAAAAAGAAGAAAAAGAAGAAGAAGAAGTAAACCCCAATGCAATGAAGCTAGACAGGACTCTCGGAGAATTTTGGGAGTAACGTGTCCACCACACAGCTAAGAATACGAGAACTGGGAGTAATAATAATTATTAAACACAACAATTACCCAAACAGGCGATACACACGATAAGATCTAATGTGAAAGCAAGAGGTCGCCCTAGGAGATCTGGATTGATGATATTAAATACCTTCTACATCCACAGGAAATGACAATAGCCATTTCTACTCATCATTCAATGGATCACAAACTGGTCTTCCCCACACGCTTTACGGCGAAAGTGGAAAATGATGAGGTAAATTACGAATGATTATGATGATAATCATAATTATCAAGAAAAAGAGCCCGTCTCTCTAGCGCAACTGGCTAAACCGGATTGCGCGGTGAGCGGGTGACGAACTCCTTGTGGTCCGGGTTCACTCCCGGGGGTAGGCAGAAAGCCACATTTCTCCTAGATCTACTGTATTTACAATGGAATCAAGGCCGAAAGGTTGCGATATCCATAATACCGAGCCTAATGGTTAACAACTCATGGCTTCTGGATATTAAAACAAACAAACATCAAGAAAAAGACAATAATGGTGAGGGCTGAAGTGATGATGGTGGTGACGATGATAACAACGACTTACAGGAGTGTTCGAGCGCAGTGTGCATATACACGTAGTTGGGGATTCGGAGGACTGATGTTGAGGTTGAACACCGGACCCTCAATGAGTTGCTTGTACAAGACGGAGAGGTAAAAGTCCTGCAAGAGAAAGATCAGAACATATCAGCATTACTCTGGTACAGGGAGGGGTGGGGGGGGGGGCATTTATGTCAACCTTTAAACAAGAGGCGACGAAGCCGGAATGGGCGGGGGCGGAGTGAGGGGGCTTGAAATCAATAAAAAGGAGGGAAGGGTGGTGTAAGGCCCCTTGATCTTTGAGAGAAAAACAAAATTGTTTTTTAATTCTGAATTTTTATTCTCTGTGATCAACATACTAAGGACGAGAATCAGACAGGTAGGAGTCCGGGAAAACCAGTCTAAACGTATAGCCATATAGGTTAGCTGCGTATCCTTTACAGGACGTTGCAGAACCAACCCACAACAGCCCTTAGCTGTTGTGTTTTTTTTCTAGGCAAAGTTACGTCCAGTAGTTTGCCATTGCTTCCTGGACGGTCGGCTTTATTGATACCACTGTCGAAACCAACGCAAGGTGCATGGCCCGCAGTTGGGATCGAACCCGGCATCCGGCATTACGAAGCGTTCTCATCGACTTAGCCACAGAGCCGACTTATAGCCAGCCATATAGCAGAGTTATATTGGGGCATAACGAAAACCCGTAATCCGGTGTGGGTGGGTTGAACTGTCAAAGAGGCGGAACCTTGGTTGGGATCAAGGAGGTGGAACCTTGTTTGTAAGCTGGAGGCTACAGAGGAAGCTCCGAAAGGCGGAGAGACTGATCACTTCTCTTATAGCCCAGAAACTTCTGAAGCATGCTTTGTTTTGTTTTTTCTTCTTCTTTTGTCATTTCACTGAAACCAGCTCGTAAATAGATCATTACGGTGAGAGGATAATGCGTTGCGTAGGGTTACAGAGCATCTGGCGACGCTCAACACCTAATGGGAAGGCGAGACGGTTATACAATCAGACAGTAATTGGTGTCATCGGAATGGAACTCTTCGTTGGCTGTTGAAGATGGGGACGGAGCTCTTATGGGAGTGTCATGTGTGCTGTGATGTCGATTCTTAATTCAACATTTAATATTCGAAAAAAAAAAAACATGTCTCACGATGTCTGCGATTGTAGCCATAACAGGATGTCCAGAGCGAGGAAAAGTAAGACAGCTTTAAGACGTACATTTATTACAACAAGTAGACATATACAGCTGATTTGTAAAAATTGTGATGCTAGAGAATTTATTCGAGAACTTAGCAACAGCTAGAGAAAGGATTCGAGAACTTAGCAACAGCTAGAGAATGGATTCGAGAACTTAGCAACAGCTAGAGAATGGATTCGAGAACTTAGCAACAGCTAGAGAATGGATTCGAGAACTTAGCAACAGCTAGAGAATTTGACACAAAGCCAGTGGAGGGCAAAGAGATAAATACTTGAATGGTCTGACCATATGGATGAGGGTTAGAAAAGAACAATGATGTGATCAGTGATTGTAGTGATCGTAAGCCTACGCTTATCGTCACGGCACATGATGGTGTTGAGGATTGTCCAAAAAACAAAACAAAAAAGAAGCAACAATAACTTACTGGATGTGGGTCGTGCCTGTTTGATATCAGGGCATAATATCCGCCCAGGAAGGTTTGTCTGAACACCCTAGTCACACCTGACTGGGCAGCCAGGCCCAGTTTATCCAGCCATCTGTGAATGTATGTAAACATCTACAGATCTTCATCATTATTTTCATACTAATTGTCAACGCATCATAATTATCACTATCATCATCGTCATCATCATCTCACTTCGTATCTTGGTCGGCCTCTATCTTTTTCCGAAGCTAGCATGTAATGTAAGTTCTCTCCGGCCATTGCAACTTTTGATATAGCTAGAGTAGGTGTTCTCCCCCCTCCCCCCAGTAAGTAAAATTAAAGAAGGTGTATAGGGCGCATAGGGCTAGACCTTTATTTTATCGACCAATCGGCACAAGACGGGTGCTGTGGTCAGCATCACACCGGCCGCATTTACTTCCCAGGACTGCACCCGGTACCCACTCAAAGCTGGGTCGACCTGCGAGCCTAGGTCATTTTTATAAAAACACATTGAAAACAAAGGGTGGAAATCAGAGACGACGAACTTCCTGCTCGCAGATGGTATAAACCTCGCGAGAACAAGCGTGATGACAGAGGTTGTAAAGCAAAGAAAGGTGATATGGCGGTCAACTTCGATTAGGTGCTAGGAGCATACGGATATGGCTATTGCATCGGAGGCGGGACCGCGAATAAGTCGGGCCGACGTGCTAGCATGTCACTACTCCAGGATTGAAGAAAAGAAAAGAAAAAGAAGAAGAAGAAGAAGAAGAAGAAGAGAAGGAGAAGAAGAAAAGAAGAAGAAGAAGAAGAGAAGAAGAAGAAGAAGAAGAAGAAGAAGAAAAACAGAAGAAGAAGAAGAAATAGAAGAAGAAGAAAGAAAGAAGAAGAAGAAAAGAAGAAGAAGAAGAAGAAGAAAAAGAAGCAAGAAGAAGAAGAAAGAAGAAGAGAGAAGAAGAAGAAAGGAAGAGAAAGAAAAAGAAAGAAACAGAAGAAGAAGAAGAAGAAGAAGAAGAAGAAGAAGAAGAAGAAGAAGAAAGAAAAGAAGAAGAAGAAAAGAAGAAGAAAAAAAAGAAGAAGAAGAAGAAGAAGAGAAAAGAAGAAGAAGAGAAGTGAGAAGGAAGAAGAAGAAGAAGAAGAAGAAGAAGGAAGAAGAAGAAGAAGAAGAAGAAGAAGAAGAAGAAGAAGAAGAGAAGAGAAGAAGCAGAAGAAGAAAGAAGAATAAGAAGAAGAAGAAGAAGAAGAAGAAGAAGAAGAAGAAGAAGAAGAGAAGAGAAGAAGAAGAAGAAGAAGAAGAAGAAGAAGAAGAAAGAAGAAGAAGAAGAAGAAGAAGAAGAAGAAGAAGAAGAAGAAGAAGAAGAAGAAGAAGAAGAAGAAGAAGAAGAAGAAGAAGAAGAAGAAGAAGAAAAAGAGTTCCATCCCCTTTCCTTCTGCTTCTGTCTTCTATTCCCCAATGGAGCATAGGGCACAGGCCCACAACCAAATTAGGCCAAGTTGTTCTATCCTTCGCTATCACAACCAGCTCTCCCCATGTCCTCCCATCTGTTTAACTTCACTCTCCAGCTCTCTTCTCCGTGTGTTTTTTCGATTCATTTTTATGCTTCTGTGGGTTCCAAAGCAAATACATTCTAGTTATATCGCTCTCCTGTTTTCTCTACGTATGTCTTTTCCAACACCAGCGTCTTTTTCTCAATTCTCGTTTCACTGGAACGTGTTTAGTTCTCCCACAAAGCTCTACACTAGTGATTCTATCATAACATTTAATTTCCCTTATTCTGCGCAGGCACCAGTTAATGAATGTTTGTAGTTTATTAGTAACTGCCTTAGTTGTTCATATTTCCGCTCTATACAACAGTACTGATTGGACATTATAATGAAACATTTTAAAATTAGTTTTAATTTCTTTTGATCTTTACAAATTTCCTAAAGCTATGAAAGCTCCTCTTGCCTTTTGTATTCGCATTATAATATCTCTGTCAGTTTTTGTCCTCATTATTGCCCACATAGGTGTACGACTCCAAGCCTTGGAGTGGGGTGCCATTAAGAGAAAGCACATTAGTATTTGCCTGATTTATTTTCATTATTTTTGCCTTTCCTTTATGGATTTTCAGACCAAGCTGCTGTGATCTGGCATCAAGTATATTTAATTTATCTTGCATGTGATTCCGTGAATGGGACAGAAGAGAAATATCATCAGCGAAGTCCAGATCATCAAGCTGTTTTGTAGGGGTCCACTGAATTTCATTCTTGGTGTTAGCAGTTATTGTCTACATAATCCAGTCCATTGCCAGTAAAAATAGGAAAGGCGACAAAAGACATCCCTGTCGCACACCTGTTTTTATTTCAAATGCATCTGTTTGCTTTCCCTCATGAAGAACTCGATATTTCATGTCTTTATATGATGCCTTTACTGCGATAAAACAATTTCTGTGGGATTTCAAAGTGCCCCATTAATTTCCAGAGAGATTTCATATCAATACCTATAATAAGAGAGCAAAGCATTTAATCAGATCAGATCTAAACATAGCAATAGAATACAAAGGCATTAAACAGGCATCTGAGTTTAAATATCTGGGAACAACATTTACCGAAGATGGGAAATTGGATAAAGAAATTGACATTAGATGCAGTAAAGCAAACCAAGTATTGGGACAGCTAGCCCCCCTCTTACAGCATAAGACAATCCCAATCAGCACAAAGAGACATCTTATTCAAAGCATATTTATTCCAACTCTGTGCTACCAGTGCCAGACATGGTCACTCACAACAAACCATAAAATAAAATTAGTAACCACGGAAATGAGATGTCTGAGAAGGGCTGTATGAGTGACCATAAGAGATAAGATCAGGAATGAGATCATAAGAGAACAAGTCGGCACAGAACCAATTCTGGATTACATACAAAGACAGCAAGTGAAATGGTTTGCCCACTTAGAGAGAATGCCTTGTGACACCATACCATACAAAGCATACATGGAAAGAGAAGAAGGACGTAGAGCACGGGGTAGACCAAGAACAAGATGGAAGGATAACATCAGAGAAACTCTACAACAGCACGATGTGCCTATGGTCGAGGCAGTCAGAAGAGCTAGAAACAGAACCTTATACCTCCCTAGACACCCACAGCGGTAAAATAGGAAGTGAAGAAGAAGAGGAAGAAGAAGAAAGCATTTAATTGAACTCACCACTTTACATTAGATTCATTTACTATGATAAAGCATTTGACAGCATTAATAAGGAATCTCTCCGGAAATTGATGGGGTGTTAGCAGTGCTGTCCTAATAATCTAGTCTATTGCCTGTAAAAATAGGAGAGGCGACAAAAAAACACCCCATGTCTCACACATGTTTTATTTCAAATGTTTCTGTTAGCTTCCTCTCTTAAAGAACTCAAAAGAAGACAACACATGATAAACTTAATGATGATGAAAATTATGATGATAACAGTAATGACGATACTCACAAAAATCCCGCAATATAACGGTCAGAGAGACCTGAAGCACCACCATTGGAACAGGATGCTGTTTCCGTGAGAGTAACAGGCTTTGGGCGAGGACTTGACCTAGAGATAGTCTGTGCATGAGCTAAGTCATGCTTGAGGTAGTTCATCCATGTCGGACTGATGAAATCCTCCATTCTGGCTTTGCGACTGTCCATATAATAACTGTAATGAAAATTAAATCAGTCCAGGTGAGAAGTAAAACTAATCTGCTTCACAATACCACAATCTTTAACGACAAAATGAGCAGCGCGACCAGAAAGCCTTCATCGGCATACAACACAAATGATACAACTATACAATTATAAACAAAAATACACAATTTAACTTATCTGTCATTTAATACAACATGTCAAGGCAACACTTGTGGCCAAGAGAAACATCGGTGCAAGTCAAACTTTACGGGTCGCTGACAAAAGGCAATGAAGATCATACTAGAGACAATATTGCAGATACAGAAAATTAATTTCAAGCGAAATATTTATGTAAGTAAACGAAAGGCAAATATCCCCAAATAGAGTTAGTCCCGCCTATATACAGACTGTGCCACTTTTGATTGGTAGTTCCCTAACCTAGTCACCTTCGCACAAACTTTACGGGTGTGTTCCGCGATACCGTTGTTATCGTGTATTGTATATTTTAGTACGCCAGTGCTTTTAACGCTCCAAAAACATAGAGCACTGGAGAGTGCTTTAACCTTTATCATAGGCATTCTCTTTTCAGAATGTAAAAGTAAATGGAAGACATCGCAGAAATCAGACAAAAGAGCGGACGCTCTTTCTATAAGTGCCGATCAATACATCGTCTGTAACTATATTAAGATATAATATATAACGGCCCCAAGGGTTCCCCCTCTGTTTATTTATGTATAAGATGTTAGAGATATCAAGATGTGAAGTTTAATTACCGACATAAATCAACGAGACATATCTTCTTCCTATTGTTGGTGCTCACCGGCTGTAAACTCCAGCGGAAGGTTGTGGTTGTTCGTCCACTCCTGGATGTAGTTCGTAATCCAGTACTTTAGTATTGCATGTAAATTTGGTGTTATTATTTTTTGTTGTTGTTTTAGACAGATCAGCTATGCAGACTGTTTTTATTTTTTTTTCATTGGTCTCTCACGCGGATGCCACACTTCGAAGCAAACACACGTAAATTGTCGACTCCTATGACATGCTTATTACAGGGGCAGTTAGTCTGCTCCTGGTTCTGAAAAATGGATTTCCGGAACCCAGACAGGGATACAAAGGCAGATGGTGATGATGAAGCATGATGATGATGATGATGACGAGGATTTTGATTTGACTTACTGGTGAATGCTGAGTTCATCGACAATATCATTGGCTCCAGCGGCAACAAATCTGCAGAAAATCACAGAAGACTGAAGTTTTCACAAAATCAGGCGATCTTGGAACGTGAGCAAATCAGTTAAGAAGAGTTTGGAGCCAACTAAGATGCTTTTTTTTTTTTTTGGAAGAATTTTGCGAATACTTTGAGACTGCAAGAATAACTACCACTGGTTGCCTGGAAATGGCCAATGAAAGTAAAACATTATATACAACAATAAGAAGGAAACAAACACAGTCATTTGGTCATGTGATGAGAAAAAGAGCACTGGAAAATCACTTGACGACGGGAAAGATGTCTGGTAGAAGAAACAGAGGCAGACCAAGATAAATGGTAGTCTGGGAGTCTGGTAGTCTTAGTTTAAGCTTCATAGCCATTGGACCACCCCATCGTTGCCCCGCCTCTGTGCAAAGCACACAGAATGTTTATCACAGTCCCTTGTGGAGAGATTGACAGATTGCTGTCTCAGCATATGCGCTAGCATACACACGCATTAAAGCATACGGTAGATAATCCGAAGTGCTAAAACAAAAAATCAGACATTAGAAATGCACTTCTTTATTGATGGTAGCAGAAGTCACCAACAGATCAGCAGTCGCACACTCGATAAATTTTAATCACATAATGCCACCACCAACATTGCGACGACAGGCATTGCATAATTTTCTGAATCTACAATTCACACAACCACGTTGGTCACAGTCGAAAAAACATTCCAAATGTAATCCGAAGCTCACAGTGTCACCCCATGCATTCAACTGAGAAGCTGGGCGACGAAACTATATCCAGTCTACAAAAGGTGCAAAAATGCAGCCGCCCCCGTCCGGCAGAAGCAAAAAAAATTGCTTCGGCTCCAAACAGTGCCCCTGCATAGCTTCTATTTTGACTAAGAGAAATGAAGGTGGATGGCTTAAAGCAGTTACAAGGAGGAATATCATCAGTGGAATTGATCCAGAACACCAAAGACCGAGATCTCTGGAGATGCATGAACGCCTACGCCAGACGACAAGACACTTGATGACGATGAGGAGATTCCTATTGTAAAAGAAATTCTTCCCTACATTAATAAACATGGTGGAATATCACTACGTCAAAGTTCCCTAAGTAAAACCATGGGTGATTTTCACCCCAATAGATTTTCAAGTCACTTGTTTGTTACTTTGCAAAAGACAGGGCACACGCTTAATTTCCTCCTACAAACAGCTCACCGAATTATTACATTTCACTCAAATACACAGTTTTCAAATAAAAACAATGTGATTTTTCTGTTAAATCCCAACGCTCACAAGCAATGGTCTCAAAACGAAGATTTACCACTTTTGTGACATAAAGTAAGTGCGAGTACTATTCCATTGCTGTATTCATCAGTAAAACTGACTTCAAAACAAGCCCAACCACTGTTGGCACCTTTCCGTCTTCCTAGACGATCGTGCTCTATGGAGTACAACCTAACCGTCTTTCTAGACGATCGTGCTCTATGGAGTACCACGTTCCCGTCTTTCTACACGATTGTGCTCTATGGAGTACCACATTCCCGTCTTCCTAGACGATCGTGGTCTATGGAGTATCATTTTTTTTTCCGTCTTTCTAGACGATCGTGCTCTATAGAGCACCACATTCCCGTCTTCCTAGACGATCGTGCTCTATGGAGTACCACGTTCCCGTCTTTCTAGACGATTGTGCTCTATGGAGTACCACGTTCCCGTCTTTCTAGACGATTGTGCTCTATGGAGTACCACGTTCCCGTCTTTCTAGACGATCGTGCTCTATAGAGTACCACATTCCCGTCTTCCTAGACGATCGTGCTCTATGGAGTACCACGTTCACGTCTTTCTAGACGATTGTGCTCTATGGAGTACCACATTCCCGTCTTTCTAGACGATCGTGCTCTATGGAGTACCACATTCCCATCTTTCTAGACGATTGTGTTCTATGGGGCAATCAGGTAATCAGGCAACCGTAATTCTAACTTCATAGCAAAAGGTTCACCTCATAGCTGCTTCATTCCTGTGCTGACAAAAAACCACAACGAATTTCAGGTGCTTTAATAATATACTACCCCAAACAGGGGTAATCCACAGGTCACGAGACAGTCTATTATTACAGGGGGTGGTAGATAGGCTGCATGCAGTCGTGGGGCCCACTCTTCCGTGGGACTTAGGTCGGTTGGGGTTATTGTTAGTTCTAGATATTTTGTGGTCGCTAAAAGCATAGGAAAGCAGGGAAATTCGGTGTTACCACCCTCTAAAATGTTTGACTTTCCTGTGATGTCATCTGGGGTAGGATATTAATATAGCACCAAATTTCATCTGTCTTTTGTGAAAGAAAATTGACTTAGACGAGAGTCTCAGAAAATCTAAATGTAAACACACGCAGTAAATGCCTAAGGAAGCCGTCAAAAATGCCAACACTAGATGGAAGCATAAGTCACATCTGATCACTAGCTGCACATGCAATTATTCGCATAAGTCACCACCAGTTCTCCGGCAACTGGCCATCGTCTGAAGAAGGAGAGCTAGGGGGAATGTTAAACTTTGTGTTTCATGTTTAATCATGTTTTTTTTTTAAACGATCAACATCATGGTGTAACCCATCAGGTTTGAGTCTGAAGAATCAGACCGCAGTGCACGAACTCCGTAACACTGGCGAGGATCGTGAAATACTTTGGGTAGATTTTTAACTCCATTGTTTGCCGGCGCAGCGCAGCGCCGTTAGGCTATACCATACAAGGTATGTACCAAACGAGGAGAGGGACGTAGAGCAAGAGGTAGACCAAGACCAATATGGGAAGGAAACATTAGAGAAACAATACACACGGGTGTCTGATCCTACTACCCAGAGACCAGGGAAATTTACTAGAAGTTTACGTGATAAATCTCAGCCTTTATCAGGACTTGAACCCGGGACCTCCAGCACTCGAGCTGTGTGGTTATGACAATCGTCTAACACTTTGGAGGTCCTAGGATCATATCATAGAACGAATATCTGTGAAATACCTACTCCTGCAGATAAACTCTAGCTTTGTAGCTTGTAGCCACGTTGGCAACGTCAGGTCCATTCAGTTTGCTGCCTGCATACAGCGGGTACTTGGCCAGGAGGTTCTTCAGTGTTCTGTAGTCTTGTACCAATTTTTGGGGAGATCGGTTGATGTAAAAATTCCTCTGATACGAGCTCGGTTCTGGAATATAGACACAGAAACATACATTACTTATAGAGAAAAAGCATATACACACTCCAGCAAAAGTGTTTTCATTACGTGGTCGTCTTTTGTGAAGACTTGTTATGCTGTCTTGTTCTTGCTCTGGGCAGACGCGATATCAGTGTGTTCGGTTTCTCGGTGTACTGTGATGTGTTAAAGTCTCAGACTGTTAGATTCTCCTTTAATTCATCTTCTTCAGTCGATTATCTCTCCCAAACTCTTTCTATCTATCTCTCTAACTATCTCTCTATCTATCTATCTATCTATCTCCTATCTATCTATCTATCTATCGATCCTATCTATCTATCTATCTATCTATCTATCTATCTATCTATCTATCTATCTCTATCTATATCTATTATCTATCTCTTATCTATCTATCTATCTATCTATCTATCACTATCTCTATCTATCTATTATCTATCTATTCTATCTATCTCTATCTATCTATCTATCTATCTATATCTATCTATCTATCTATCTATCTATCTATCTATCTATCTATATTCTATCCTATCTATCTATCTATCTATATCTATCTATCTATCTAATCTATCTATCTATCTATCTATCTCCATATCTATCTATCTATCTATCTATCTATCTATCTATCTATCTATCTATCTATCTATCTATCTCTATATATCTATCTATCTGTATCTATCTATCTGTCTGTCTATCTGTCTGTCTGTCTGTCTATCGTCTGTCTGTCTGTCTGTCTGTCTATCTGTCTGTCTATCTGTCTGTCCTGTCTATGTCTATCTATCTGTCTGTCTATCTGTCTATCTGTCTGTCTGTCTGTCTATCTATCTATCTATACTAATCCTATCTATCTATCTATCTATCTATATTCTATCTATCTATCTATCTATCTATCTATCTATCTATCTATCTATCTATCTATCTATCTATCTATCTATCTATCTATCTATCTATTATCTATCTATCTATCTATCTATCTATCTATCTATCTATCTATCTATCTATATATCTATCTATCTATCTATCTATCTATCTATCTTCTATCTATCTGTCTATCTATCTCTATCTGTCTATCTGTCTGTCTGTCTATCTCTGTCTGTCTGTCTGTCTGTCTGTCTGTCTGTCTGTTGGCTGCCTGCCTGGCTATCCTGCTGGCTGTCTGTCGTCTGTCTGTCTGTCTGTCTGTCTGTCTGTCTGTCTGTCTGTCTGTCCTGTCTGTCTGTCTGTCTGTCCTGTCTGTCTGTCTGTCTGTCTGTCTGTCTGTCTGTCTGTCTGTCTGTCTGTCTGTCTGTCTGTCTGTCTGTCTGTCTGTCTGTCTGTCTGTCTGTCTGTCTGTCTGTCTGTCTGTCTGTCTGTCTGTCTGTCTGTCTGTCTGTCTGTCTGTCTGTCTGTCTGTCTGTCTGTCGCCCGCTCGCTCGCTCTTATTTCCATTTTTATGATATTCGTCCGATCGGTTAATTTGTTTCCTCCCGCGTTGTCACATAAAAGTTCACCAAACAGTTATTAGATTTACCAGTAAGTAATACTTGACACCCCCACAACATGGGACATGCCTGGTGATCTGCCTCTACCTGAATGGGCGGTGAAGGAAATCTCGCTGTGCGGGCAGGTTTATGATAAGTACGGATGATGATGATGATAGTGGTGATGTTGCTGATGATTGTGGTGATGATGATGATGATTGTGGTGATGATGCTGATGATAGTGGTGATGATGCTGATGATTGTGGTGATGATGCTGATGATTGTGGTGATGATGCTGATGATAGTGGTAATGATGCCGATGATAGTGGTGATGATGATAATGATTGTGGTGATGATGCTGATGATAGTGGTGATGATGCTAGTGATAGTGTTGATTATGCTGGTGATAGTGGTGATGATGCTGATGAATGTGGTGATGATGCTGATGATTGTAGTGATGATGCTGATGATAGTGGTGATAATGCTGGATGATAGTGGTGATGATGCTGATAATTGTGGTGATGATGCTGATGATAGTGATGATGATGCTGATGATAGTGTTGATGATGCTCATGATAGTGATGATGATGCTGGTGATAGTGGTGGTAATGCTAATGATAGTGTTGATGATGCTGATGATAGTGATGATGAAGCTGGTGATAGTGGTGGTAATGCTAATGATAGTGGTGATGATGCTGATGATTGTAGTGATGATGCTGATGATAGTGGTGATAATGCTGGATGATAGTGGTGATGATGCTGATGATAGTGATGATGATGCTGATGATAGTGATGATGGTAATGCTGATGATAGTGATGATGATGCTGGTGATAGTGATGATGATGCTGATGATAGTGATGATGATGCTGATGATAGTGATGATGATGCTGATGATAGTGATGATGATGCTGGTGATAGTGATGATGATGCTGGTGATAGTGGTGATGTTGATGATAGAAAATTACATTCAGAACCATACCATTTCCTAGCTGGAAATACGGGATTTGAACCCCTTTAGCCGAGGAATAGTTCAGCAATTTATCAGCGTTAGAAGGGTCCCACGATCCATCCTTTGTCCACATGAGATTATTAACGTTAAACAACAAATCCAATCCAGCTTTTCGTAAAAAGGACACAAACAAATCCCACTGTCGTGCTGTAGAAGGGATCAAATTGCAAATAGGTTAAAATCAAATAAGAAAGATAGCTGGTAGTCAAGAATTAAATAAGGGCAGGAAATATTTTCGGAAGCAAATGAAACTTCAATGTCTACCACGGTGTGATTCTTGTATCTTTTCTTTGTCAATATCTGATTATGTCACTATGTTTTGCAGTTCATCAGACTATCGGCAGCCGAGCCAGGGTGCGCTCATTCGCTTGATATGCCGTGATGTTATGCAGTCTCAAAGTGTCAGTGACTCCTTCAATCCCCTGCCTCTTGATGTTTTGATTTTCAGGTTGTACACTCTTGCTGCTGGCATCGTTGGTTTCTTTCTCATTTGATGGCCAAACCATTTTATTCTTTGTTTCTAAATAAATTTGACAATGAGTATTGATCCAACAGTTCTTGTGGTAACGTCGTTTCTCACTCGATCCCTTCTGGTTTCATTTACAGCCATTTTTCAAACATCTCATCTCTTGTAAATGCGGTCTAATATTCGACGAAACACGGTATTCGCAATGTATAATAGAGAAACACAATTTAAAAAATATATATCTAACATAGAGTATAAGATTATTTAGTTTCGTGCACTTAAACGGCAAGAAATATTTAAAAGTACTTAAAAACGTTTTAATTAGATACAGGGTCGGCTCTGTGGCTAAGTCGATGCGAACGCTTCGCAATGCTGGGATGCCGGGTTCGATTCCAGCTGCGGGCCAGGCGGCTTGCGTTGGTTTCGACAGTGGTATCAGTGAGCCAACCGTCAAGAAAGCAACTATTGGACGTAAATTTGCCTAGAAAAACCACACAACAGCCAGGGGCTGTTGGGGTTGAGGTTCTGCAACGTCCTGTAAAGGATACGCAACTAACCTATCCTATACAAGACGTTGCAGAAGCAGCCTCTGCATTTTTTGGTTGTGGTGGTTTTCCTAGGCAAGTTTACGTCCAGTAGTTTGTCATTGCTTTCTGTACGGTCGTCTTCTGGAAACCACTGTCGAAACCAACGCAAGGCGCAAGGCCCGCAGCTGGGATCGAACCCGGCATCCCGGCATTACAGAGTGCGTTAGGAACGCTTAAGCCACAGACGCCGACACTTCAAAACGTAAAATTGTCAAAAATTGGCCATATATAATAGTCTACAGTTCTCGTTCAATCACTGAAGTCAAGCAACGTCTGGCGTGGTTAGTACTTAAATGGGTCACCGCTATAGAACACTGCACGTTGTATACATTTTACACCAGCTGAACACCAACCAAATACAGATTAGTCTATAAAACATAGGTCTAGCCCGAAATACCCAATACGTTTGAAGGCGTGGATGAGAGTCCTTACTTACTATATTTTCACTAACAGTAATCAATATCCTTATTGGCTCAGAAAGCTAAAGAAGATGAAGAAGTAATCTATATCACATCGTGACACTTAAAACGAAGAAGAAACTTGGATGGAGAAGAAAACAGAGACGAATGCATATTTTATCAACATTAGACTAAACAACACTCTTTTTTTTTAAACACGTTAGGGTAGAAGCGGAAGGTAACTGGACAAGAGGTTGACTGCGATACAATAGAAGAGTTGAAAGCGATAGATCATCGACTAGCACTCTGTGAGAGAGTACACGCAGCGTGAAGTTCGGAGTGGGTTATTGACCTTTCTGCTTCCTTCTTTTCTCTAGATGCTATTCTGCCATTTTTTTGTTTAAATTTGTTTAGAGAAGTTTGGTTATGAAATATCGCATAGCTTATATACTAACTGTAAACTATCGTAGGAGTATAGGTTGTCACATTCAATATATATTAAATTTACTGTCGAACAATTTTACATATTTTATATATTTTCATTTTATATGGACCTGAAACTTAGAGCACAACTGAAAGAGACGAGGCCTTATTACAGGTTTTCGAAAACAGTGTCTTACGACGAATCTTTGGACCCATCAAGTTAGCTAGTTAGTTAGTCGACAGATTATCCTTATTGCACGTCGAAACACTCAGTCCATAAGAGCTCGGGCCCCTCCTCAGTAAATCCCGCAGCGTGTAGCGGCTAACGACACCAGTTCTGTGTTGGTTTATTCTTCTTCTTTGGCTACCCGAGTAGTGCTTTTGTTTGGCGACACCCCGTTTAACATGTTGTTCGTGCAGTCTGACCATGGTTGCAGATTCACAATTCTCAGTTGGTTCACGCAAACTTCTTAACTCTCTTAGAGCATTCAGTATATCAGCCTGGTCCATGGCTTGTCCGGCTTTCACAGTAGCCTTACCTGCAAGCCTATCAGATTGATCGTTTCCTTGTACCCCCACATGTCCAGGCACGAATGTGAAACTAATCCTTGTCAGCCGGGAATTCTGTAGAGCCACCAACCACTGCCTTCGGACCCAGCCCTTCTCTATCTTCCTGAGCATACTCATCGAGTCACTGAGAAAGCATGCTCCAGTGAAAGTTTGTGTCTCTAACCATGTTACTACTTTAGTCACAGCCAGGACCACCACAGTCAGACTGCTTGTAGTTACGGCAAAAGCTCCAAAATCTTTCTTCACAACTCTCCCTCCAAACTGAGCCGTGAAAGCCCACGAGGTTCTAGCGTGGCGGATTACAGAACCATCTGTGTAAACGACAGCATCACCCTCTAGAGCGTTCTCGAAAATCGAGGCTTGAACTTCTGCTTCCACAGCAGCCGGACTCTGTTGTCTCTATTTTCTGTCTAGTTGGATGCAAACAGAAAAACATGTACAGCACTCTGAAGGCACTTGCACCCACTCCTCGCCGGGTTCTATGTCCTTAAGTGAACATACCTGTGAAATAATGTCCTCGGCTTGACCCATCCACGATTTGCCTCTTTTTAAGCTGCTGCCTTTTATCTTCTTGATTTGACTATGTAATGGATGTTGTGTGTCCGCCTTGACTGTGAGGTAGGCACGAGCTCGGAAAATTTGTATTCTGTCTTCCATGGTCGAAAATTCAAAAAGGTAGCGCATAACCCTGTATGCTGTATCTCTTGTACACCCAAGCGCACAGCCTCGTTCTGTATATTTTGACCAATTAAAGATGCAGATAGCAGGGAAAAGAGAGTGAGAAGCAATAAAGAAAATAATAAACTGTTTAAATCACCATTGGTCACTGGCATCATGAGAGCTAACAGACTACAATGGTTAGGGCATATTGAAAGAATGTCAGATGACAGAGAAGATAAAACTGTATTCACAATGGAGATTAATTGTCCTAGACCACGAGACAGACCAAGAAGAAAATAGAAAGATAATGTCCAGACAGACCTGTACACACTTGGTGTCACCAACTTGAAAGAGAATGCCAACCAGAGAGATGAATGGAGGCCGGTGCTATCTGCAGCAAAGAACCTCAAGGGCTCGGAATGCTGAAAAAGACCGAACAAAGAGTTGAATTGAGGCAGATGATATTTGCAGCAATGAACCTCAAGAACTCGGATTGCTGAAGAAGAAGAAGACTGTCGAAAAATTACAGTAATTATACGTTGACATCTCCGGGACGGCTCTACACCCTTTGGCTTGTTCGGTTCGGAACTATAAAAAGTAGATGCTTCAAAATGTCAACAACACACAGGCACGACCGGGTCTACACTTCACCTGTGACAGTGAATGGAGTCTTGTGTGAAGATGTGTAAAATCTGTCGCGTGTACCGGGCCTTTCAGTGGGATCAAAATGTAGGAAGTTTGCCGAAGTTCCTCCCAGACGAAGATCTGCAGGCGAAAGGGCCGAGGCCAAATTGAGCAGCTTCTCTGATCTGAAACAGTTCAAACCCTAAGTCGGTGACAAAATACATACACAAATTTCCAGAAGGACTCGTTTTCGAAACTAGGTCACTTTAAAGCTCCCCCCTTCCACCCGGCCCCCTTTTTTTTGAATGGTGGTTGGCACGTTGTATTGTGGTTTAAAGCACAATTATTGATGTTGGAATACGATCTAGAGACCAGAGGTACTGGAAAGTGTCTTCTCGTCGAGCAAATCAAAAATCAAAACAAGGCTCATTGTGTTCTGTAGAGAAATCTCTCTCTCTCTCTCTCTCTCTCTCTCTCTCTCTCTCTCTCTCTCTCTCTCTCTCTCTCTCTCTCTCTCTCTCTCTCCTGTCCTTTCATAGGGATATTTCTATAAAGAAGTGGGCACTAAAGATGCGCAAAGCTTCAGAAGATGCGGAAACTGCTGCTCGTGGTTCCTAGTCATGTAGTTTAGTCCCAAACCACGCCTCGTGAGCGGCGTGGGTGACTCCTGGCGGTGGCGGTAGTCGCCGTAGAACCGCAAATTAAGTAGCCGGAAGTGCGGAAGTGACACGTGACTGTGGCTCGAAAGGATATTTTGCGGCTGCCATCTTTAGTGCCCAAAGTTTGGAGGATAGCCAAGGTGTCTCCTGCGTACTTGTTACCCTCGTACTCAACCAACCTAGATAGTTGTCTAATGCTCATTGCAGAGAGTAGACGAGGCATGCTATCTTCTATCAAAGATCATCATACTCCTATTCTTTCTCGAATTCACAGTATGGTTTCATCAGACAATCTAACTTACATTATCTGGACAAGGATCATTTGCTCTCACGTTTGGACACACGGTCACGCAACTACTGACGCTGGCCTTCACAGACAGTCACGCCACAACTGACGCTGGCCTACACACAGTCACGCCACAACTGACGCTGGCCTTCACGCATTTAATGCAGTTAATCAGGCCCTGCTATTGTGCTCAGATATTCTTCGACCACACTTGCTTCGTAGTTACACACAAATCAAGTTTCACTTCAAGTCGAACAAAAATTCATTCCGAATACTCTAATTCAATCCAAACTCTCTGGGGCCCACCATCTCTGAGAGACCACCTTATCCGCAATCCGTCAGATCACGCATTCACACGTGAATTGTTAATTTTTCCCAGTTCTGTCAATCAGCCATTTCTCCATAAAACCCATGATTCTTACACTAGGGACATTCCCAGTTCTGTCAATCAGCTATTTCTCCATAAAACCCATGATTCTTACACTAGGGACATTCCCAGTTCTGTCAATCAGCTATTTCTCCATAAAACCCATGATTCTTACACTAGGGACTTTCCCAGGTCTGTCAATCAGTCATTTCTCCATAAAAACCATGATTCTTACACTAGTGACTTTCCCAGTTCTGACAAACAGCCATTTCCTCATGACCCATGATTCTCACACTAAGGACTTCCCCAGTCCTGTCACTCAGTCATACCCTGACATTATACCGATTTATAGCATTATTACAGAGATCGCCAACAGTGGATCATGTCCTGAGATCGCCAACAGCTGGATCATGTCCTGAGATCGCCAACAGCTGGATCATGTCCTGAGATCGCCAACAGCTGGATCATGTCCTGAGATCGCCAACAGCTGGATCATGTCCTGAGATCGCCAACAGCTGGATCATGTCCTGAGATCGCCAACAGCTTGATCATCACCATGACAACGCGTCGAGCCACACCGCCTTGGCAACCAGGGAGTTTCTGACCAAGAAAACAATTTCCAACCTTGCCACAACGTGCATACAACACAGACCTGTCTACGTGCGACTTTTTTTCTGCTTATCTGGCTAAGAGGGCTAAGAAAGGATGCCATTTTCAGACTGTTCTAGTCATTCAAGACGCCACAACTAGGTACCTTTGCATCATCCCAGAGAAGAAGTCCCGGGGGGAGGGGGGGGGGGGGTACAATAAAAGGAAAAAACGTTGGTTGCGCTGTGTGACTTCACAAGAGTCCTACTTTGATGAATAGTAATGTAAGTCACATTGTAATTCTTCTTTGTTGTCATTTGTTCGCTTGAAATAGATTATCTTTATCTGCAATGTTGTCTCTAGTATGAACTTCACTGTCTTTTGTAATTCACTCAGAGACCCGTAAAGTTTGACATGCACCGATGTTTCTCTTGGCCAAAAGTTTTGCCTTGATGTGTTGTATTTGGGATAGTCTTGGAGGACATAATCTGGCATTGTTTGTAATAACTTACCTGTGCCAGTAGCAATCAATTTACTTTTTTTTTCTTCCAGCAATCTATTTAGCTTGGCAAGTGTGTGTGTGTGTGTGTGTGTTGTCTGTCCTTGGTCCGGTATATGTGTCTAGGAAACCTGGACACCAAGGCGTCATTTCACAACTGCGCATTTCGGCAACTGCGCATTCCGGCTGAAAACATTATATTTTTATATTCGCTTTTAAAGCCATGTTTGTTAAGGGAAATTAAGTCTATACTGGTGTCTCTTATACTAAGGACTCGGAGTCCACACAAGTGGATCTACATCTAATTACTGCATGTTAACATAATCCGCAAATTCTAACATTCCACATCCCAATCAAGTCACAGTCATCAGTGTGAGTTTACAACACACCACCTTGATATTTTCCAGTAATTAATCCAACTAAAGTCACACTCACCCTATCCAATCTAATACCATCCACCCTATCTGACACACTAAGTTGCATCCCTAAGTCACACTGGCACCCCATTCTATCATGACCTGCCTTGATGCTATTAAATAACTAACTTCACTAATGTCACACTCACCTGTCGCAGTCTGGAATGACGATCCTGGAAATGACACATTAGTTTACCCACAGCCAGCTCCAGATAAGGCCCCCACTGCTCGAACAATAGTTTAAATAATTCGCAATTAAGTGGGCTATTATTTTTTTTTCTAATGGCCCACTTATATATCTTCAAAATGATATTTCATTCAATAATACGTGTTGCAACTTATGCAACTTTAGCTTAATTTGGGTATAAATCTACTCGGTAAGAATGATGAGTACCGACCAGCCACGGCCGGCCTCCCAAAAACGGGAATTCCCTTAGAGCTGTACGGCCTTATCTGGAGCAGGCCGTAGTTTACCACACTCTTCTTTACCGATGGGGGACTCCGGTGGAAGGATTTTGTTGTTTTACCACTTCTGGACTTTAGTCATGTATCTCAACTTGAGTTTTTGTGTGGACATTCTTTTGACGTATGTGATTTATTTATATGCAGATTGTTGATCCTGGCATCTCAGGCGGATGTACTCCGACTTAAAAGAAAACATCTTAAATTAGTTGTCCTTTACGATATGCTTTTTTAAAAAGGGGCAGTAATATATTATTTTTTTGCTCTAAACACTGAGGTATCATGGAATTTAAACCAGTGAAGTCGCACTTACCTTTTCCTAACATTTTGACCCACTTTGGTCCTAGTCAATGATTATGCCAACTAATCTCACACTCATCCGATCCATACTTTTTAACCCACCAGGATCATAAACAACGATCTCTGCAGGACAGTCACACTTACCCGTTCCAGTCTAAGGTGATCCTCCTCGATCCTATCGCTACACTGAGAAACCGTACGTCACAAGAGTGCTGACTTGATGTTAGGTTGACTGTTACTGCATATGTGGCATCTGCTGCACTTCTTGCTACTTGCATAGTCAACGGAGCATCCGCCTCGATGGGCGAAGAGTGTGCAATCAAAACGCACATGTTCAGTAGTAGTATAATTGAAAATCTCAGCCATGCCATTTTGAAACTGTTTCTTGTTGTGGTATTCTTATGTTAGTGTTTGTGGCTTAGGCGTTGCCAACGAGCTTCGTAATGCCGGAGTGCTGGATTCGATCCCAGTTGCAGCCCTTGCTCCTTGTGATGGTTTCGACAGTAGTATCCAGAAGCTGACCGTCCAGAAAGCAGTGGCAAACTACTGGACGTAAATCTACCTTGAAAAACCAATCCCAAACATTTAAAAAAAAAGCTGGGGTTGGTTGAGTAACGTCCTGTAAAGGATATGCAAATAGCTTTATTCTTTCTAATGCGTCACGTTTGTGATTCACAAGCTGTATACCGTGTATACCTACCCGACTTAGCAGGATGGAGTTCAACCGTTGACAATTTGATAGCAGATCACTTTACATTTTTTGGGACAAAAATATGAGCATATTGCCGATCTAAAAGCAGTGGCAAACTACTGAATGTAAAATCGCTTAGAACACCATTGAAACAGCCAAACAGTTCTTATGTTGCTGTGCAAAATCTTGAACTGGATGTGTATATAACCAACTGAATGTTAGTCTTCAACAGTCAAACTGCTGTATCCAAATGTTGTGAAAACAGTTGCGGAATAAATGCTAGATATAAGTAGATGGACTGTTTGTGGGTTTTATGTGATAGTGCTTCCATGAATTCACCTCCACGACCCTCAGAGGTCAAGGGTTATGCTGTGTTATGTTAAAATGTTTGTCTTAAGCCGTAATGCTGCTGTTTTAACATGATGGGAAAACAATCGCAGAATAAACGCTGGACATCTGTAAATGGAAAACACAAAACTTACATTACCTCTTTCAGTAGGCAACAGTTGTCACCGTTATTAAGACATCCAAGCATAATTATTAGTGCAAAGAGACAGATTATAAACAGCATATTCATTCCAACATTAAGCTTCCAGTGCCGAACATGGACACTATCTAAAACCAATTAAGCAAAATCACCCCCTTGAGACAAGATGCCTGAAGATAGAGTGAATAATGATACTATCAGACAAATAGTGGAAACGACACCTTGTACTAGATTCATCGAGAAAAAGCAGATGAAGTGGTTTGGCTATCTTGTTAGAATGCAGCAAGATCAAATACCATTACAAGCACTACATCTCAGAAGATCAGCTTCAAGAGCAAGAGGACGGCCGCGGAAAATATGGATCGACAACATTAAAGATACTCTACGCCTTCACGACATGAAAATAGCTAGTGGCAGCCAACGTGCACTGGATCGCAAACTATTCCTCCCCACGAACTGATACACGCAGTTGCGGATTATGGAGAGACATGAATGCCTACGCCAGTCGGCAAGGCACTTGATGATAAGGTTGAAGATGATGACGACGATGATGATGATGATGATGATTGATAACACTCCCCATGAAATTGTTTTAAAATCCCTTACTTTTCCTCGACGAAGCTGTCGTGGTGTAGTGGCTAGACACTCGCCTTTAAATCCGAAGGTAGCGTGTTGAAATCCGGACAAGTGATCACCGAAAGTACTTGGAATGAAAGGAAAATGGCTGAACCAGAAATGACCCTGTATTGAAAGCAGGGCTGCCAAAACGATTTTTTTTTTCGAAAACCCCAAATAAACTGAACAAAAACCCAAGCAATACATAGGCTAAGACACCCCCCCCCCCCTCCTCCCCCCCTCCCCCCCCCCCCCAAAAAAAAAAACAACAGATTGTTTAAAAGTACACATTTTTTAGTTACAGAACGAAACATTTACCCACTTTTACATAAGGATATTTGTTTAAACCCCAGATTTCAAAATCTTTTCCCACATCTGGGGGTTTAAAACCCAACATTGGCAGCCCTGATGGAAAGATCGAGAGGCAGAGAATACTTGTTGTACCATGGGAAATACCAGTTTAGATAGCGCGCCTAGAGTTAAAGGTAACTGAGTCAGTTTTGGCGTTAACACCTCCCATCACCCATGTATACTGACCCAGTTTTCGCTTTCCGATCGCGCGATAGTGATATAAAGGTTAGTACCTGTCCTGTTCATCCTCTTGAACGAAGTTTTCGAAAGGAACACAGATGAGTATCATTTATTTAGTATATAATAATCCTGTGTAATCACTTCATAGTTAGTACATATTTGTGTATGTCTGCTATGTTGTCTTTATGTGCTGATGAAGGCTAATCGCCACAACGTCCTTTGTTTGTTCATTGTAATTGATTTTTAAAGCTGACATAATCTATTTTTTTTCCCTTCTTACCCTCTTTTTCTTCTCTTCCCTATAATTTCCTACTCTTTTGAAAACGTCAGTATTCAAGGTCTACTAGGACATCACACAAGCGATAAACACCCGTGCCACCATGTGGATGAGGATCACCGCGGAGAGGTCCCGGAAATCCCTTTCAGCCGTTACGGCCACATTCATGGTCCGGCTATATACAGGACCCTGGCAAAAGCCAAGGTGGGGCTTCAAATAACGAAAAAAAATTGCATCCCACATGGGGACGACTGAAACGCCAAGAAAAAAATAATTGTGACTGATCTCTAGGCTATTGAGGACTGATGACAGCGACTGGACGATACACTTGTTGGAATAGAAATGAAGGATTTCCTAGTCAATCTGAGTGTCGTCACAATGTGTGTTTCCTTCTAATGTAATTCATTCAGAAAAGGGAAACCAGAGGCGCTGTGGTTAAAGGAAAAATGCAAAGAGTACATCACTGCAGACATGTAGTGGCTAAACAAGACAACGATGAGTTGAGTTGAGTTGGTTTAAGAACCAACAAAACAGCACTCGGGGCATTATCATAAGCGCCCCGTCCCCATCTTCAGCAGTCCAGATACTAATGGCGCCAGTGTCATTCTGATTAAACGTCCTCCTGCCTTTTCTCTGAGCCTTGAGCATCGGCCAGAACCTCTCGTCACTCCCCGCTGCATCAATCTTACAAGACAGTGGTGATCTATCTGCTTCTCCGAACTGTACACGCTCTTCCACAAAGCAATAACCACTTCTGCCTTATCATCCATCAGTATTCCACCAAGTTGTGCAGAGCCAGCCAGTCTGTCCACCTGTTCATTTCCTAACACACCGGCGTTTTCCGGTGAAAAAAATCGAGACAATACTCCTCACCCGTAGCTTCCGCGGACATGTTGAAAATGTGCATACGTGTGACGCACCGATGAACCTATGTTAATTGTCGTGAGAAACCGGGGTGTTAAAGTCATATAAGTAGATTTTGTCACAAGCCCTAAAGCCTCGTGGCTCCTTCAGTTGGGGATAGAAAAAGAGGGGGGGGGGGGAGGGGGGAGTGAAACACTGGGACATGCAAAAGTTACTCTAGCTAAGCAGCTCTTTTCTTCATATACCTTTTTTTTTTATTTTAAACTATATTTATCAATAAAGGTTAGTTGCTTTTTCTTTACAGGACGTTGCAGAACCAACCCCAACAGCCCCTGGCTATTGCATGGTTTTTCTAGGCATATTTACGTCTAGTAGTTTGCCATTGCTTACTGGACGGTCGGCTTTCTTGATACCACTATCAAAACCAACGCAAGGCGCATGGCCCACAGCTGGGATCGAACCTAGCCACAGAGCCGACATATTTATCAATGAGCACATTATTATTATCATCATCATCATTATCACTGAGAACCTCTAGAGGCTCACCTGTGGATCCGACGGTAAGTAAGTGAATGTTTACCCCACCTGGACATCACACAGAGCGACAAACACCAGGTGACACTAAGTGCCACCATGTGGGTGAGCATCACCCTGGAGAGGTCCCAGAAACAGCGTTCAGACATTAGACCATAATTATGGTCAGGCTATATTGCGGCCCCTGGCTCGAGGCAAGGTGGAGCTTCACGAAACATTGCATCTCACAAAGAGATGACAAGGTTATGAATTCAAGCTTTTAGAAAACGGCATTAGCTCCCAGGTCGACCTAGCCTTAAATGGGTAGCAGAGAAAGCCATGGGAAGTAAAGTGGGCAAATGTGATGCTGACCACATCACCAACTAACTGCCGATTGATCTAGAATATTTAGGCCTAGAACTTTATGACCAGTACGTCTGAAAGTGGAAAAGGGGTCCTGATATTATTATTATTATTATTATTATTATTATTATTATTATTATTATTATTATTATTATTATTATTTTATTATTATTACCATTATTATTATTATTATTATTATTATTATTATTATTATTATTATTATTATTATTATTATTATTATCACTATTATTATTATTATCATTATTATCATTATTATTATTATTACTATCACTATTATTATTATTATTATTATTATTATTATTATTATTATTTATTATTATTATTATTATTATTAATATTATTATGCTCTAAAGTTACGATTAATTCCATTGAACACAGAACAGATGGACTGCTGGGGTTTTGGGTATGGCGCGGGCCCTGATCACATTACTTCTTCTTTATCTCCTCTTTTGCCGCTTCGGGTGTTTATAGCCTGCTTCATGTGTCGAGGAGATACTCATAGGAGATATAAGTCCTTGCTTCATGTGTCGAGGGAGATATAAGGTCCTGCTTCATGTGTCGACGAGGGAGATATAAGGTCCTGCTTCATGTGTCGTGGAGATATAGAGAATATAGGTCCTGCTTCATGTGTCGAGGGAGAATAAGGTCCTGCTTCATGTGTCGAGGGAGATATAAGGTCCTGCTTCATGTGTCGAGGGAGATAGCTTCATGTGTCAAGGAAGGAATATAAGGATCCTGCTTCATGTGTCGAGGGAGATATAAGATCCTGCTTCATGCTTCGAGGGAGATATTGGATCGATGTTTCGAGGGAGATATAAGATCCTGCTTCATGTGTCGAGGGAGATATAAGGCTTCTGCTGTCGAGGGAGATATACGATCCTGCTTCATGTGTCGAGGGAGATTATAAGATCCTGCTTCATGGTGTCGAGGGAGATATAAGATCCTGCTTCATGTGTCGTTAATCGAGATATAAGATCCTGCTTCATGTGTCGAGGGAGATATAAGATCC